ATTCAAGGTCCCTGAACTGCATAGGGAGAGCCTGTCTCAACAAAACAAAACAAAACAAAACAAAACAAAACAAAACGCAAGGCCGGCCCTGGCTGCACAAATTCAAGTCCTACCTGACTGCCTTAACAAGTCCATTTTAAAAAACAAAGAACATTCTAAGAAACAATTACAATGGTCTCTTTAAAAACAGTGTCATACACAAGCTCATGCATATACATACAAACATATTATAATAAATTAAAAGAAATTAGAGACATAACCAAATTGAACATATGAACCTTTACTGGGTCCTGGTTCATTAAAAAACTAAAATTTTCGGAGTCCTGTTTGGTGACATTGCCTACAATCCCAGCATTCTGGAAAGCTGAGGCAGAAGGACTGCAAGTTTGAACCCAATCTGGGCAACTTAACAAATGAGAGGCCCTATTTTATAATCAGTAATAGTAAAGAGCTAAGGATGGATCTGTAGCTCAGTGAGAAGGCCCTGAGTTCAATCCCTAGTACTGAAAAATAAATAAATAAAAATTGGGAGGCTAACTGGAACATCTGAATATAGATATTAGATGGAATTCAGAATTTACTTTTAATTTTGCTAGAAAAATAATGGAAGTTTTTTTTTTTTTTTAAAAAAAAGTGTTTGCATTTGGCAAATACCTGAACTGTGCAGTGGAAATGTCTCGAGTGTAACCTTCAAGTGGGTCAGCAAATAGGCACTTCGGCATCTCCTTGCAGATACCAACAGCCAATTTTTTTTGTATTTGGTATATGCCAAAATATTTAAAATCACTGTGTCTAAGTGGGAGATTCATTGAAGTGTTTCTTGCAATATTTTTTCACCTGCACGACTTTTTCTTAATAAAAAGTTGGAGGGAATGACTCATATTCATAACAGCTGTGATGATGTTATATTCTGCCATTATCCTTTAAATAACTGATAGTCTTCTTGAATTTTGTTACCTTTTTACTATTTCTGGGAGCAATTTTCATATAGCTTACATACTAGGTCTGACAGAAAGATGTGTAAATTTTGTTTTGCTTTGTTTTTGGTACAAGGATTCGAACTCGGGACTTTGTACTTGTGAAGCAGGCGACGGAACCACTGAGCTAAATCCTGGCCTGATTGTGTAACTTTTAAAAAGTATTTGTCACAGAAAGACACATTATCATTAATTCTCCTCCAAATAATCTTCTTCACCTTGAAAACACTTTAGCCCATGGTTCTCGCCACTTGTAAGGCCCTCTTTTTTGCGAGTCTTCAGTTATGCTATCCTGGCTGCATCAGTGTCCTGAATCAATTTGAAGCATTTACCTTTCATGGACCTTCTGACTCTACAGACGAGTCACAATTCACATGGTGCCAAATCTGGCTAAGGTGGCTAAAGACAGACTGTAGTTTTTTATGAGCCTGTCTTTCTGTTGTACGTCACTCAGCAGCAGCACGCACCCTATTTTCTATCATACCTTATAAAAACTCTCATCAAAGAGGACTTCCAGAACTGCTTCAGAAAGTGGCAAGATCAATGGGATAAATGTGTTCAAAGTCAGGGGTATTTTGAGGGGAATTACTGGCAATGTGTCTTTTACTGTAATTAAAAAGAACTGTGTTTTTGGGTTTTGTTTTTGAAACAGGGTCTCACTATATAGTTGAGGCTGGCCTTGAACTCACAGCAATCCTCCTGTCTCAGCCTCCTCAGTACTGGGATCACAAAAGTGTGCCACCACACCTGACATAATTTTAAAAAATTTAATATACACCTAAACTGTACAGTAAAACTTGGTTTGCGAGCATAATTTATTCCAAAAACATGCTTATAATCCAAAGCACTTGTGTATCAAAGAGAATTTCTCCATAAGAAATAATGGAAACTCAGATGATTCATTCAATAGTCCAAAAATATTCATATAAAAATGGTTACAAAAAGCAACACAAAATAAAATACAAAATATAAGAAATAAACTAACATGTACTTACCTGTGATAACCTTTGTGGCTGGTGTGAGGGAGACAAGAGAGAGGAGGGTTATTGTGTAGGACGACTTTCACTACCACTGATAGAATCACTGCTATCTATTGGCTCAATGCAATCTTTTTCTTTTTGTGCAACTTTAACAAGGAACCTATTCAATGATACTTGCTTTTGCTTCCTTTTGAGGACTTCGTGGAAATGTGACATTGCATTGTCGTTAAACAGATTCATCGCTTGCACAGCTACAGCCTTATTCGGGTGGTGCTTTTCTACAAAATTTTGCACTGTTTCCCACATTTTACACATCTTCCTAATCTCCTTTGAAGTGAGGGGTTTCTCTGCCTTTTTCACCTCCTCCTCTGCTGAGATCTCCTCTACAGCCTCTTGCTGTTGCTCACGATGCAGATCCATCAGCTCTTCAGTGGTCAGCTCCTGGCCATGCTCCTCCAGCAGCTCTTGAATGTCATCCTCATTTAGCTCCAGTCCCATGGTCTTCCCCAAGGACACAATTTCTTCTACAACTGCTGACTCTGGGTCATCAGCAAGCCCCAAGTCGTGTCCAAGAACACACTGGGGCCACAGTTTTCTCCAAGCAGAATTGAGGGTTCCCTTGGTGACCCCATCCCAGGCTTTATCGATGATCTTGAGACAGTTCACAGTGTGGAAATGATTTTTCCAAAACTCTTGGAAAGTAAGGTTTGTTCCTCTGGTCACCTCAAAGCATCGCTGAAATAGAGCTTTGGTGTAAAGCTTTTTAAAGTCCGAAATGACCTGCTGATCCATGGGCTGGAGGGTTGGAGTGGTGTTGGGAGGAAGGAACTTGACCTTCATGAACTGGAATTCCTCCAGCAAGTCATCCTCAAAGCCTGGAGGATGAGCAGGAGCATTACCCATAACCAGTAAGGCTCTGAGTGGCAGATTCTTTTCTAAAAGGTATTTTTTCACTGCAGGACCAAAGACCTCATTGATCCACTCAATGAAGAAGACACGAGTGAGCAAAGCCTTGCTGTTGGATCTACACATAATGTTGAACTGGCTCTTCTGCACTTTGCATTTCTTGAAACCCGGTGGATTCTTGGAATGATACACAAGCAGGGGCTTGACTTTGAAGTCCCCATTTGCATTAGCACAAAACAAGAGGGTGAGACGGTCTTTCACGGGCTTATGACCAGCTGTTGCATTCTCCTCTTCTGTAACATATGTCCTCTTCGGGATCTTTTTCCAAAATAGCCCTGTCTCGCTGCAGTTAAAAACTTGCTCTGGCAGGTAACACTCGGAAACCATGAGCTTCTGGAACTCAGTAGCAAATGCCTCAGCTGCCTTAGCATTCAAACTCACAGCCTCTCTGTGCCTCACAACACTATGGAAGCCACTTCTCCTCTTAAAGTTATCAAACCATCCCCTGCTTGCCTTGAAGCCTTCTTCACTCTCTGCCGATGCACCTGGCAGTTTACTTATGAGGTCAGCATACAAGGCCTTTGCCTTCTCACAGATAAAGCCCTCAGTCACAGTATCACCTGCCAGTTGCTTCTCATTTATCCAAACCAGAAGCAATTTTTCTACATCTTCCAGAACACGTGGCCGTTGTTTTGATATTCTCGTGACTCCTTTTGCTGCATCTAGCCCCCTTATTTCTTCTTTTTTCTTTAATATTGTGCAAATGGTTGATGTAGACTTCTTATAAAATCTTGCAATTTCAGCCACTCGCATACCTCGCTCATACTTCTTGATGATTTCCTTCTTGACTTCCACTGTAATCATCTCCTTCTTCTTAACTCCTTTCTTTTCAACCTTTTTCTGCACAGGGGCCATTGTATATGCTCGCACAGATGTTGACTACAGTACAGTATTAATAAACTCTTGCCATATACCGTGTTTAATGTAACTGGCAATAAGGCAGCAGAGGAAAGGGTCTATATCTGCAGGCAGCCTGACCTAGAATGAAGCAAAGCATTCCTAAGCTTACTCTTGTATGGAAAAGCAAAGGACTGTCCGTAGGTGCTCTGAAGAGACAAAAAATACACTGGTACCAGTTGTGGGCACCTTTCCAACGCTCTGAAGAAATCACTGATTTCTGCCAAACACGACAGCCTGGAACCAAGCACCTAAGCACGGGGGATGATCACACCCAATCCCCCAACAACACTGAGAGAACAAGAAGGCGGTGAGAGGGAGAGGGCGAGGGCGAGGGCAAGCGGGCAAGCGGGCCAGTGGGCCAGAGGGCGAGAGAGCAAATAAGAGAGAGAGAGAGAATTGGCTCTGTTGTGATCATGTGACATTCGTTGTCGTGTACTATTCATATTGTATTTATGGAGTTGAAATTTATTAGAAATGTTTGCTCGTCTTGCAGAACACTTGTAGGGTAAATTTCTCGCAATCCAAAGTATTACTGTATTTTGATCACACCTAATATACACATTTCTTGAAAGAGAAAAAATAAGCCAGGTGTGATAGCACATACCTGTCATCCCAGTACTCTGACAGGCTGAGGCAGAAGGATCCCAGGTTTGAGCTGAACCTGGACAACTTGGCAAGACTTCTGTCTCAATAAAAATAAAAAGGACTAGGATAAATGTAGTTCAGTGAGAAGGCCCTGGGTTCAGTAAATAGTAACACACACACAGAGGCAGAGGCGCGCGCACACACACACACACACACACACACACACACAATACACGAATCTAAAGTGGTTTACAAAGGTTGCTAAGTGAGTATTGTGAGATGAAGCTGAACACCGCCTTCTTCCATCGAGTGCTGGCACTGGTAACCTGGTTGGGCTCTGGACTTTCTGTTAGTAACAGTACTGGTGACACAGCTGGTGTAAACTCAGGGGCTTCCTCAGTCTCCCGCCCTGGCACTCATCCTTCCATCTAGGAGCACTAGGTAAAGACTGTTCGGGGGGAAAGGAGGATACCAGCCAGTGAAGTTTACTGCGTATTCAGGTCCTATACTTATATGTACTGATTACCCGATTATGTAACTAGAACAGCCTATAGTCAGTAAACAGTCTACATAATTGAAGAAGTGGACCCAAGACCCTTTACAATCTATTATTTAAAAGCAGCAAAAAGAATCCTGCTGGGCCAGGGATTTAGTGCAGTAGTGTTGAACCTGCCTCGCAAGCGCAGGGTCCTGAGTTCGACCCCTGGTGTGGGGTGGGGGGGATTCTGCAGATAACTGTCTACCCTCAAAGTATTTAACAGGCAACAAATATTTACCTCTCTTCATTCACCTCAAATAAAATTTGGAAAAGGTCTGTATTCTACCACAACTTGCCCTACTTGATTCTCAAAGCTTTGAATTCCTTTAATTTGCTGTTTTTTTCATGACTCTAACACAAATCCCAAGACTGAAGAATTTAGTATCTAACACTTTCAATTCACTGCACATAAATCAAGATAAAAAGAACATTCGGAACAGGAAAAATTTTTTTTCTTTTTTTTTGGTTTTTTGAGACAGTCTTGCTACATAGTCCAGGATGGTCTTGAAATCACTACGTAGCCCAGGCTGGCCTCAAACTCACAGCAATCCTCCTGCCTCAGTGTCCCAAGTGCTCAGATTACAGGTGTGTACTACCACACCCAGTAGAAAAAGTATTTTTACAAATCAAAGCAAAGCAACTCTTGTTGTTGAGATAGTCTTAACCACACTGCCCCAGTCTGACCTCAAGTCTCCTGGGCTCAACTGATCCCCTGTGTCAGCCTCCTGAGTAGCTGGGACTATAGGCACATATATATTCCAGTGTTGAAAATAAGCAACAAGGAGCCTCAAAATACCTGGCATTTGTGTTTTCATTTTACCTAAAGTTTTGGCTTTAAAAAAGGATTTATGGGCCGGGGATTTAGCTCAGCGGTTCAGTGGCCTGCCTTGCAAGCGCAAGGACCTGAGTTCAATCCCCAGTACCAAAATAATTAATTAATTAAATAAATAAATATAAAAAAAGGATTTATTCCAGAAAAGCTTTAGGACTACTAAATCTGTCTATGAAACAGACATGATTTGTGCACACTCAAAGGCTTTACTCAACACTGAGGTATAATCAAATATTTAAAAGCTTTAATTTATCTAGTCTTTTGCATTTTGTCCCTCATAGCATCTAACTGCTATTGTATCTTACATGTCACAGTCAAAGATTTTAAATAATCCCAACTGGGCTGGGGTCTTAGCTTAGTGGTGCTGTCGCCTGCTCACAAGTGCATGGTCCTGGAGTTAGATCCTCAGTACAAAGGGGGGGTGCAGAGTCCTTATATTATTTTTGAAAATCCCAACTGGTCTAATAATTTCCAAACTCAAATTATTTCCCACCTGTCTGGCAGCAAATCCCCTATTATGAAGCACACAAATGAGTGATGTGCTCTTTACTTAAAGGGAGGGACCCTGGTGTAAGCAGCAAAACCTCTACTTGAAAGGGTTCAATATTGGGTATTCCCTTTCCTGTCTCCCATGGGAAACTTCACTGACAGTTACATGTGGTCTGAATTCTATCTCTATTCCCTCAACTTCATTTAACTCTGCTAACTCCTATCAATAGGCCAGTTTCTCTCCTTCCTTCTGCTCTCCTCCCTTTAACTGTATGTAAAAAATTAATAGGATATAATATGGAGAATCAAGAGTAAAATATCTGGAGTTGTTTTATTTTACTATAATTAGTATGTACTAATTATGTACTTTGTGTACTTTACATTCATTATCTCAATGAAGTCTCACAATTATACACCCCAAATATACTTTTTATAGATGAGGTCAAACAGAGGTTTAGAGACCAAGTAACTTCCCCAAAGCTACCATTAGTAAATATGCCAGCCAGGACTCAAATTAAGCTTTTTGTTCTAGAAATCCCACAGAGTGACTGCTTTTTCCATTCTTATTTCCAACGAATATTTGTAAATTTTCTAGAAGATGGTATGAAGGCAGATTTGGATGATCTGAAGAGCAGAAGCATAGGAAAAATCCAATGATTTCCCAATTTTTTTGGTCTCAAATTCTCAAATTTTTTGGTCTCTTAAAATTACTGACTTCAAACTGGGTATGGTGGTGCATGCCTGTAATCCCAGCCCTCTGGGAGGCTGAGACATAAGAATCCCAAGTTTAAGCTCAGCCTGGGCAACTTAGCAAGACCTTGTCTAAAAATTAAAAACTCTTAAAGGGCTGGAGATGCAGTGCAGCGCAAAGGCCCTGGGTTCATTATTGTGCAAATTAAATAAATAAATGAATCCAAAGATTTTTTAATCTGTGTACATAACTTTTCACATTTACCATATTAGAAATTTTTAAAATTAAATTTCTCAGTATGTTTAAAAATAAACCCATTATATGCTAACATAAATAACATTTATAATAGATACTATTTTCCTCCAAAATACTGTTTTTCATGCTTATAAAAACTTTTGTGTCTATGTAACAGGAGACAGCTGCATTTTCATAGCTACTTCTGCATTCAGTCTGTTATAACACTGTTAAGTATATAATGAAAATCTGGTGTTGTAAAGATGACCATAGGAAAAGAGAAAAATAAATTTAGTAAGCTTTTCAGATAACAATGAATATTTATAAACACTAAAATAAGCAATAGTTTCTTTGGTATATATGCTGCCTTGAGCACATAAACAATAGCTTCTTAAAGGATAGCTTTGCATCTTGTAATCCAAAACACTATCAATGAATTGCTCAGATTCTGTTACATTAAAATCCACCAGTGTCGGCTTTCAGGTCTGATGCCCCCATCAACCCACAGCAGCTGTCTAATCTCTTTTTTCCAAATAAGCTTTCGTTACACTAAACAACAACAAAAAACGCCACTGGTGTCAAGCATAGTGGCACATGCCTGTAATTCCAACACTCAGGAAGCTGAGGCCAGAGAAACAGAGTTCAAAACGAGCTTGATCAAGTGAAAAGACCCCAGTACCAAAAAACAAAACAACAAAACAAAAAAAACAACCAGCTTGGGCTGTCCAGCACGTTCAAGGGTAGCATATCCTGTAGTGAGACCCTGACTCAGAACAACAAAAGCAAACAAACAAAAAACCAGAACAAAATCCATTGGTGTAACTAGTATTTTGAAAAGCTCATTTACCATTGCAAGATTTTACCACGTTGGTCATTTGGAAAACGTCCATCTTTCAAAAGACTATTTCATTATACAGGTTTTTTTTTACTGTTATTTTATTTTAGAACCGGGGATTGAACTCAGGTTCTTGTGCTTACGAGGCAGGCAGCTGCACCACTGACCTAGACCCCCCCACCCCGCCCTACAGTATTTTTTTTTAAAGCCACAGCTATTAACTACTGATAATGTACAGAAAATCTGTAAGTACTGGAAAACTATAAAACCTGACCTGTCAACTTCTAAGAAATACTAATTTTCACTTAAATTTTATTGCTAATAATAGTCAATTGTTCTAGAAGTGAGTCACTTCATTTTCAAGAAACAGTGCCAAATATTCAAGTGTAAAAAACTGCAGTGTTTTCACATAAAAATGCTGTTCCCTGAAACCACAGCAGCTTTACAATTCAATGTCAGAAATGTTTTTCCTCATAACAACCATACCTCCAAGGTCAGCGTGTTTTACACATACTTCTCATTTCATCGTGGATTTTTATTTATGTAGGTTTTTTTGAGACAGGGTCTCGCTATGCAGTCCAGAGTGGCCTCGAACTCTCAGCAATCAATCCTGCCTCAGCCTCCAGAGCGCTGGGATCACAGGCGAGTGCCACCAATACCCAGTTAAGATCACAGATTCTTAAAAATTAAAAGATGTACTCAAAAGCTAAGATTTAATATTAGTAGTTTCTACTGCTTTCTCAGGAACATAGTCAAGTAAGCACCTTAGAATGTGGTGCCACAGCCTTCTTGCTAAAGCACTACTGGTACTAGGTTTCCCAGCATTACTTTTGACCATCAGTGGAAATGTCAGATGAAAAAGGAAGGTCTTGCGACTGTATTTTGAAAATGGTTATGACCTGAAGGTTCCCGAAAAGGAGTCTCAGGAGTCTAAGGGGTCAGCTGGCCATACCTTTGTGAACTGCTAGGAATACTTGTATTACTCCACTACTGCGTGACAGGAGTGAAATCTCTACCAAAACCCTGTTCACGTTAACTATCCCTTCTGTTAGCTCCTTTGATTTGAGATACACCACCAACATAAGAGGGGGGGGATCGAGGGCACAACTTGCCTTTTAATTGCTTTAACATGGTATTTTTAACACATCTATGAAAAGCCACTAAGTTCAGCTTAGTCAGCTCAAGGTCTATTAAAAAACGTGGAGATGACCCTTCTCCACCCCACCCAAAGAAATTTCAGGGGATGAGGCCCCAAAACTGCAGGCTTAGTAATCTCCAAAGTCTCCTTCTGCACTCTTAAGTTGAGGGCCATAAGTAGTTCCAATTCGGAGTCCAAGCTCCCAGGCTCAGAGAAAGGGGTGTTCCGAAAATTCATTGTTGTCCATCTGGTTTTCCCTTCATCAGTTTGGGAAGATTCCTTTAAAAGTAAAGCCCCCACGCCAAAAAATAAATAAATAAATAAAAAAGCAAAGCCCCATTTTTGTTCTGAGCTCAAAATAACAACCAACACTGAGGAATGTGAGAGGCAGGCTACTGTCCGCCCTATTCTGAGTGAGTACAATTCAGTTTATCTCAATCTTTATATCGAGCATGATTGGGCCAAATATCTTAACTTTCAGCTCTAGTACTTATGAGTAAAAAAGGTGAAAAAACGAATCAGTGGAGAAACGTGCAGTGTATTAACTGTGTGAAGGAACCACACATCCGGCGAGAGCAGGAATCAGACCAACACTTATAAAGTAGGGAAAGCAGGTGAGATTCCGTGACAAGACTCCTTTTCAGTAGGTGCCAGGAATCTACAGAAAATAGTCCTTGGGAGAAACATGGCGTCCACCGCGGCAGGACATAATCAAGGGAACATAAAAGATTCTCTGCCCCATCCCCGTTTGCAAATCAATGCTCCATCCCTGAAGAAATTCGGGACCGCGGGGGGAGACTTTGTAAACTCGCTACAGAGCACTAGATGCGCCGGGCGGGGATTACATAACACAGGGGATCCGCCGGGCGATGCCCCGCTCCTCCTCCCGCCGCTGAGAGCGGGC